ACAATTCACTCTAGAAACAATCTTGGATAGCACAGTTATGAGATTTTTGGAGATCACCCAAAGGTGACTTTGACCATGACTCCGGCCATGCCCTTCAAGTTCAAGTTTCGAAAGGAAACCTCTCATTGTTATACTGGGTATGGAAAAAGCAGGGAATTTTACGTTCGATTGTGATCCTGACCACTACTAATATTTAAGCTTGACACCACCTTGGATTTAAGGTCGAGCTCACAATCGGACGTAAAAATCCATGCTTCTTCAAATTTACAGTATAAAAGTGACCGGTTCTCTCTTACTTAAGCTTGAAGGTCACGGCCAAGGTCACGGTTAAATGCACCTTTAAGTGATCCCGAGAAACCTTACAAGTGTGCAGTCGAAGATGTTTGCTAAAGCAGATTGTGGTCTATGTCTTGACTTGACCTTGAAATGGCCTAGACGGCAATAGTCAAGTTCATTGCCAAGGTCGCTAGGTTATAAAATTTGCTCCTCTTTTCAATTTCGATGTGAAAAAGGAAGAGTTTTATTTGAAAATATTCGCTTGACCTCGACACCATCCTCCACCGACTTTAGTTTCGAACTTTTTTTCTAGAATACGCCAGCTTTCGGAATATTTATGTAGGTAGCTTGAAATGGGGTACCGTGTTTACTGTATTCTGGTTCCCAAACTGGGATCTGAAGGATCCTAGCGCCATCTGTGAGCCAGTACCAAAACACAAAAATTAATTTAGAAATCTACTTTAAAAGTGTTAGAGTGTCTAGCTCTGCTACTGTCTCACAGATGGCGCTACTCGTATGGTAGGAATTCAAACTGTTTTGACGGCTTCGGTTTTTTCGCTGTTTCAATCCATGATCCAATATAGCGCGTCCTAAACATGTAGCTAACAATCTTCACGTTTCACAAAGTTCGTGGGTCTAGCAAAGGATGAAGCTTCCTATGAAGTAGTAGCGAAGAGGCAGATGAGAAGATGGCGCCGCTATCGCTGTGCGCTCCTTATATTTAGATTACATTACAATATATTGCTATAATTATGTAAGTGACGTTGAAAAAGGAAATCGGAGATGCATTTACTTTTTTCGTCCAAGCTTCCAATTGTAATAGCTGCACAAGGGGATCTTTTTGTGGTTCCATGGAAAGATACCAAATATATTATTATATTCAAAACCCGTTTCTTTCAAAGCCTTTAAGAGGAAGGCGTTAGGCATGATATACGCTACGTTAAAAAAGAATTTGAAGGTGTTTGCATGCAAAGTATTTTGAAAATCGAAGGTATTCCTGAAATTAACGAGTCAAATTTTATGACTGCACAGTTCTTATAGAAAAATAGCCCTTTCCTGCTTGCAGTATATCGCCCTGTATAAAATTCAATCCCCTGTTAGTCCCGATGTACCGTCCCTCATCGAAAGCAATAGAATAGAGGTAAAAAGCTGTTAAGCCATTTTTAGCTAGGATTAAACTACGGGGATTTTTGTGTATTGTTACCGGATTACAGATAAAAAATAAATTAGCTCTCATGTTCTCTCTTGATAAATTAATAATGTTCATTAAAAAATGATAATCCCACAAAACAAGGTGGAATGAGTCACAGATCACAAACGTCCAACTTATTAATGGTGGTACAAGTATAAAAATGACATTATTGACAGTAACATGAGATTTTACAATTTTGTTAGATGCTGAGGTTTCTCTATCGATCAGCATTTTGGTAGACATTATATCTGTATTGCTGCAAAAACGTGAACGTAGTTTTACTCCTTAAAATGTATGTCCAACAGTTCGATCGAGTAGATTGACTACCCCCAATATATGTAGGTGTAACGAGAAATGTCGGAATTTTGATTTTTTGATCCTGCAAATATTTTTTTTTCTTGGCTACTCTTGAAAGTATCAGAATCTAGAGGTTTTTGAGAGGCAACAGATACTGGATGACAGATGAGCCGATGGTAATCTTTATTTCGATTTTTTTTTATTATTCCAAAATGAAAACTGAAAGAATGTGAAATCAGCTAGTGCAACTACTTTACGCGAGACTGTGCGGCACAAAAATGATCAAAACCCGTATTTCGTTTTTGAAAGAAGGCCACTATTCCTTAAGATTCATAGTTATTTAGAAAAAAACAAAAGCATGAAAGAAATATGGTGTTAGGATTTTCAAAACTGCTTCCTTAATCGACTCATAACAACCATATTTATCGATCCCCTTCTGAATACTACAGCGCGTACAAAGAACTTAACATCACCACCAAAGACCGCTACATTTGGCGGGGGTGTGACATGCAGATAGAGTACAGATAGGGTGAAAAGCACCCCTTCTACATCCGCGATCTATTGTACAGTTAATTACGGTCCCAATTACTTTATAGGCCCATTATCATTCTGTCAATAATATGCGCGCAATTAGTCAGAGTTACATTGTCAAAGCGACGGACGGATGGTCGCCAAAGTTGCGGGGCGAATTTGGATGATTCGTATGTTCCATAGTGCGTACGAGGGGTGAAAGTCGGATTGAAAGAAAGTCGATGTGGAATGAACGGCTCTAAAACAGGAAAAGTTTAAAATTTGGATATCTTGGAAGTGGGCAACATCGGAACTAATGACACTTAGTCTTAAATCTCAAAATAAGATATGCTAAGGCACACGTGTAGTCGTCCTTTATGGATCAGAAGCGCAGACACAAAAGGTTGTCACCAAGAAAAGACTCGAAGCATTCGAAATGTGGTTTCTAAGAATTCCATTGACTGAACACATGACCAATGAAGAAGTGCTAAGACTGTTCAACTTCAGATATGAACCTCCAAAGTTAGCCCAAAGGGCATTCTACTAAAAAAGAACAATTTCTCAGACGTTGCCGTCTCTAGTTAGTTCACGATTTTTCGTTATGCGAAGCGAGACTGACAATATCGCAGAATGGACACACTGATTTATCTTCAACTCAATCTGTTGCACGGAAGTTATGAAAATGGCAATACAGTTTGACGGTTGCTTTTTTGGGGGACCAATATTTGAAACTTCACTTAAACAATTTCAAGGATGGTGAATGCGTATCTTCAATTGCAATTAACAGTAATCTCTTACACGATTAATCCTCGTACAACCGGAGTTGTTTAAATCTCAATCTTAAAGAACAATATAAAGATTAAAAAATGTGGAAGGCGAAAAACTAGATCTGTGAGTCCTCAAGATTAGCAGGAGCTAAGAAATTTTTTTGTCAACAAAATTGTCACTATCTCAATCAGATACTTTGAAATTTTGTCGCAATTTGAGTTCTCATATTCCTTTCATACCATGTTCATAAAAGTATATAATTAGAAAATGGTAAAATGCTAGAAGATGCAAAACATTGAACCAAGTAGAGTAGCTTTCAGCTACGATCCTTCAGAGTTAATAAACTACGCCTTAATACAATAACTACTTAAAACAATTTGTAATCAAAGAGATTTTCTTCTGAACATTAAACAACTACAGTTGGTCAGTTTTTAATATTGCCAAAACTTATAGAAAATACATGAACCATTGTTATCCATTGCAACTGCGGAAATATTCGAATTTCAAATAAGAAGCATGGAGAACGTGCATCTCTTCATAGGGCAAAACTAACAAAACGTTTAATTCTGATGTCTAAACTATTTTAGTATTAGTTCATTTTCTACCAATTTTGATTTCAGTTTCACATTCAGCGCGAAAAATTACATGGAAAGAAAAGTTTTTGGCGAAGTCAAAGGAAATTCTCTGATTACTTTTATTTGATACACAAGCCTTTGATGCTTTAAATCATGGCATACTTCTCTTAGAACTGGAACAGTAAGGAATCAGAGGCATCGCCAATGAACTAATGAAATCATATTTAAACAATCGTTCTCAAGTAGTCAGTATTACAGCTGAAAATGGTGATTTGTAGTAATTAGTATGGGGGTTCCACAGGGGTCAATCCTTGGGCCAATTTTATTTTTAGGATACAAAAATGATCTAACTAAATCTATTAACTTACATTTTTTATTCGTGTACGCTAGTGAGGTATCGGGTACAGTAGCTGACAAAAACATAGAACAGTTGTCTCAAAAATCAACCAAGCATGTAGTACTGACAACTTATCACATTTGAACATAAAACGAATTTCGCGAACTTCAAATACGATACCACCAAATCATTTTATGTGAAATTAAACAGAAAAACCATAGTTCGGACGAACGCTGCACAGTGAAAGAAGTGCGAAAATAGTTCATTCATTGAAGTGGACAGAACAAATAACAGCAGTTTTCACGAAAATGAAGTATGCCTGCTATTTAATATACACTATTAGATATCAAGTCATCACTGAAGTCTTTGGAATGGTTTACTTTGCTTATGTGCAATCTGTAATACAATACAATATAATATTTTGGTTTCACTCTTCGAAATTTGCCGAGTATCTTTTATACCAGAAACGAATTTTTAGAGCAGCGTTAAAACTATTCCAGATAACATCTTGCAGAGAGTTCTTCAAACAGTACCATGTATATAAATATTGAGTATATAAACTATGCCTCGATAAATAAAGCAGAAACAATTATTCGTACAGTAATATTATCACTAAAAACAATCTCAGTGTGCCCAATCATGAAACCAGGTTATATGAGAAAAGCCCATATTATAAAGGTGTAAAAATTTTAATGATTTGCCAGTACATATGAAAGACTGCACAAATACATATGGATTCAAAAGAACATTGAAAGCTTATTGAAAAGAAAATGCATTTTATTCGATGAATGAATATTTTTACTATCCGTAGTTTTTTTTTGATGTAATGTTTTTGTGTGCACGTATGACGTTGTCTATGTTTACTACTGTAAACCGTATGACAAAAATTATTATTACACACTTAGAGACAGATTAGTTAGGGCTATATATGTATGTAGCAGTTCCTTCCACGGTGGATAGTAGGGATAAACTTAGGTGCTCAATTGGCCAAAATATCTGTAACATCATCTAAAAAATCTGAGGATAATAGTAAGTTTCATCTTACCCTCCACTGCCCTGGTAGGAGATCTTGGCCTTCCTAGTATCCGGTCAATGCTGTAAATACCCCTGGGTCTAACGTCATCTCCGGATTCTGACATCTCCTCACAACAGTAGAAAAAAATCCAAAATAAGAACAGGAACTGAGAGTTTTTAACACACTGAACTTAGCCCTCAGGAAGCTACCACTGACTGCACTCTCGGCTCAACTGTCAGAGCAGGTTGCCAGCGACCTGTTTTTGAGGGGTGATAGCCCCACCTCCTAGCGCCGAGTCGACCAATCCGAGAACGCAAAGGCACGAGTCCGACTCGGGATAGGTTTAAGCGCGCCAAGCTCTGTTTAAGGATCCGATGCTGGTTTTTATTACGTTGGCTATAAGTTAATGAAATGGAATCAGGTGTTTTATTATAACATTGTCACCTTACAGTTAGGTGGGGGATTTGATTTATTGCTTTTGTGGCGCTTTAGCGCGATTAATACTTGTAAAAACGAGTTACGGATATAAAGAAGAGAAATAAGTACGACACTTTTTTATATTTTGCAAATACTGTTCAGTTTTTAATTTCGAGATCCATCAATGCAGATAGTGATTTAGGGTGCTACAACTTCTCATAATAAGCTCTCAAAATAGCTGCTATTTTGACGTCGTTGTATGTATGATCAATGGAGTAGCAGCTCCTTCACAGAAACATTTGTTCCAAATTACGACATCTGCTTTGTTCAAAGTATAGAGTTTTCTAAAGATGTTGACAAGACTACAGATTTTTGCATATAAGTATAAACAGAATTTTACTATAGTGGGGTAGGAAGTTATAGTTAAATGTCACAAGGACCTTTAAGCTTTACACGAAATGTAAAGGAGACGCTAGAAGTGAACCTATTACTTGGTAAAATTGGACACTAAGCCGACTTTCCAAGCTTGATCATACATAACAAAGCTTTAAGATAATGATAGGGATTTTTAAGAAGCTGCAATTGGTAAAACGCACTCCAAGATAACTGTACAGTTGAAAAAACTATAAAGCTGTTCAAATTATCCGTGAAATATTTAAAGAGAACTTGATATGAACATACTAGATAGTCAAACTGAGCATTAAGCCGACCTTGCAAGCTTGATCGAATTACTCGTATAACAAAACTTCAAGATATATAAAGGTTTTCTATATTCACATGAAATATGAAGGAGATATTTGAAATAAACATACTAGGCAGTCAAACTAAATATTGATCAGGCTTTGCAAGCGTGGCCATATTATAACAGAAAACTGAGGACAGGAATTTTGCTATTGCTAAAGCTGTACAGATTTGTAAGCCTTAAATGGAATATAAAGAAGAAGCTGGAAATGAGCCTACTGGATAGTCAAACTCAGCATTCAGCAGGCTTTGCAAGATGATCATATATCATAGTATTTCAGGAAAGGAGCTAACCTTAATATGACCTTTTCAAATCAAACGTCGCTGATTTCTACAGCTGATTTAATTAAATTTTGTCTTGCATTTGCCTTTAAAAGCTATAAAGGCTCCACTGAACTTTCCGCATTCATTGGCCAAGCGTTAAAACCAGTGCAAAATGGGTCATCTGTTGAAAGCTTTTCTGCATTACTGCCTAAACGCCAAAATATTGCGACTGTTTAGAGAAGCTAAAGTTGATCCATCTCTTGAACTGCCTAAAGTTAGTAGAATTGGGAAAAATAATTCTGGCAGATCGTTCGACAATCTAGATACCCCAGAAATAAAGGAGCGATTGTAAAGATAAGCTCTCGTTGTACAGAATAGTATCCTAAGTCAAAATGGGAAGTAGAATCCAGGCAAGTTCATCTGGCAGGTCTAAAGCACGCGGCATCGTGAAGGAGACGCGTAGAGGAGCAAAGACCGTTGGCACATCAACAGAGGGTAGCCTGATCATCTACCGGCTGATGATGGGGTTGTGGTTTTTGTGAATTCACTGATGGTATATCCACGCTAGTTGTTCTCATAAAAGCTAAAGCTGAGATGCATGCTAACAGCGTTTATCAATTAAAATAGTCTACTAAATTGACGAGGTATAATGGATCAACAATTTTTATGTGCACGCACATCTGATATTCTCTTCTGATCCTGCCTAATCATGTTGCAAACATTGTCTTTAGTAGATACCATTAATATACTGTGATGAAGCATGTAAGTTAATTACTTTTGCGTCAAAGTAACAAATCATCAATACCTATCATGTCAGATTAGAGAGAGACTCTCATCAAAAACTTTGGATTGAACCACCTGCTTTGTCAATAAAGAAATAACCAAAAAGAATCTTTTATGATTTTGTAGCTCGAACGCATTTTACATATTGGATACAATGCAACATAGTTGCACATAGATATCTTCTAAAACCAATAAGAAAAGGTATCAGGCAAAACGTACCCTCGTACTCGAAATCCTTATGCTTAAGATCACAAATGTGTTATGAGCAATATTTCTTATTTACCCCATCACCATATTGTCGTCCAAACTCCACACCGTCGCAAAGTAAATATCTGTTAGAAATTTTAAACTTGCTGTCTGTTTTTTTCATATTTTCACATTCTATTCTAAACTCTACTTTTTAGTGACAAGCTGTTTTTTCCAGTTCTATGTGAATGTACATATGTTCTGTTTTTTATATCTTGTTGCTACTAAAACCATCGATTATTTCTCAAAGGCAATGCTTTCAGCCTGAACAGTTTCACAATGCTTAGAGCATTGAAGATTCCTGTATGTACTACAGTTTTTTATTGGTTACACATAATATCCTTATCATGTCGAAAACTATGCAAACTTAATATAGAATAATCCGCGAATACGAAATATCAAAATGCAATTATCACTGATAATGCTTCAACACCTGATTCGCACAAGTGTTTTATTAACACACTTTATTGACGTCATAATCAAAATATTGTATTACATGACAACCTATGTATGATAATTACTTCTGGATTATTTATCAACAGTCCTTTATCACAATGTTATTTCTGAAACCGCCTGCAACTATTCTCACTCATTAGGTATTTAGCCTTTTGTATTCGGGAGGTTCTATATTGGGTAATCCAGAATTAGATGATAATATCTATCAGCACGAAAAATAGTGCGAAAATTTACTTGTAAAACGACATTTTATAATTCAACTAAATGTTGACATCATAGTAAGCAGTTGGGGCCTCACATCAAGGTTTCAATAAACTAATACCTCATCTGATTTCTGATTTTTTGTTTCTGTTCCAAAACTGATGGAACTGTACTTGAGACAATAGTGTTTTTCTCAATAACTACTCATCGATGTGGAGCAACAACATATTTTTTCAGGTTCAAACATCAGGTTACCCAAAAAACGTCATGGCTTAGCCGTTAATGTAAAGGGTGTAACAAAACTAGAAATATTGCATTGGAGCTAGTCCAGATGAGTTTGTGAGACATCAGTTTGTTGCTTTGCGGTTAAAATTTTGATGAATTGTATAGTGGCGCGCAAGATTTATTTAAGACCCTATATCCAGCGCCATCTCTTAGGAGTATGTACATTTTATTCTGTACGAGGGATGTATTTTAAGTTCTGCATGTAGAATCATGATAGGCCGCGCGGATCGAACGTCAGTACTGAATCTTAACCTCACTCTTTAGTAAACTTAAATTCAAAGTTTCACAACAATACGTGCAGTGTCCTCACTACAGTGAATTTTTAAGTGTCACCAAGTCATAAGAAAAATGGAACTCAACCGAGAACGTTTTCGACCCATAATTTATTACAACTTTCAGAGACAAGTATCGCAACAAGAATGCCTTGCTGAGTTACTGTCTGTTTTCGGCAACGAAGCACCACATCAGTCGACAATTTCCCGTTGGTATGGAGAATTCAGACGTGGACGGGTGAGTCTTAGCGACGATCCCAGGGTGGGTGCACCAAAAACGGCAGTCACGCAGGAAAACGTCGATGCTGCGCGCAAACTCATCGTTGAAGATAGACATGCGACATATCGCGAAATTGAGGGGTCCTTGAAGATCTCAAAGACCTCAATTCAAAAAAATTTACATGAAGGATTAGGAGTAAGAAGATTAGTTTCTCGTTGGAAACCCCACCTGTTGACTGAAGAGCAGAAAGCAGCCAGGGTTAATTGGTGTAAAAAAATGCTTGACCGTTTCAATTCCAGAAACTAAAAAAATGTGTACAGCATTTTTAATGGTGGTGAATCGTGGATTTACTGTTCTGAACCAGAAAATAAACGACGGTTGGCTATTTGGGTGTTCCAAGGTGAAGAAAAGCCAACAAAGGTCATCCGTTCTCGATTTGTTTCGAAAAAGATGGTCGCGACATTTGTGTCAAAAGCGAGTCATACTGCAACAATTCCTCTTAATGAGCAAATAACTGTTACTGCGGCTTGGTATACGACCAGTTGTTTGCCAAAAGTCATCACCGAGCTTCGAAAAATCAACCTCGAAAGAAGAAGAATCATACTCCACCAAGACAATGCAAGCCCACACACAGCCCAAAAAACAAGGCAGTATTTAACGGTAGAAAACGTGGAATTATTGGACCATCCTTCATATAGTCCCGATCTAAGTCCTAACGATTTCTCTACTTTCTCGAAAATTTAAAACAGACTGCGTGGTCAAAGGTTCCAGTCACCGGAAGAAGCAGTGACGCATTCAAAAATGCCGTTTTGGATCTGCCAGCAAACGAGTGGAATAAGTGCTTCGAAAATTGGTTCGAGCGCATGCAGATGTGTATTAATCTTCGTGGAGAATACTTCGAAAAACAATAAAGCCATTTAAGACTACCTACCGTGTTGTTTTATTTCCATATGCAAAACTTAAAAGACATCCCTCGTATGCATCTAAGGGGTCGTTATATTATTCTAGAGCATTCTTGATAGAAAACTGAAAAAGACTACAAATAAATTACGAACGAAGTCCCTTCTACTTTTTATGCCAACTTATGGACGAATAGCGGAATGCCGTTTTGCTCCCATTTTGTCAAAACAAGGGTAGGCAGTGTAGCCGAGCTATTAGCACGACCAGCTGCTAATCCGTCGGCTCAAAGAATAACTTCAGACCAAAGAGCATACATACGAATTCATGCATTATATGTTGATTTTAAATAATACATTGAAAAACGGCTAAGTGAAACTTAAGTTCTCTCTATCGTTAAATACAGATTCCTAGTTGATTTCCTTCGTTTAGATCACAAGTGATATAAAGTATGTAATGTCGCTTTATTAAAGGACTTATTATTTGTCCATATATCTGGAAGGACTTGAATTGGTTAAAAATTCCAGTTGCATTCTAACATATTATCATGAGTTTTGTACATAATTTGATTTATGATTCTACATATCCAGTATACCTCAAGGACATTTTAAATCCAACCTGCGTAATTTAAACGTGAGAGATCAACTATCCCTTCTCACTCAACAAGCTGTTTTTATAGAAGCTCCATCAATCCATCTCTAATTTCCAATTCACTTTCCGAAGAATCATCGGAACAACTACCGACACGAAAATTTAGGATAGTTTAAGAAATATTTGTACGATAGACACATGTAAATCATGCGTATCATAACAGGCTTACAAGAAGGATAAGTAAGTTTGTAGTATTCATTTCATTTGTCTATTTAAGATCTTTCATTTTAAAATCATACAGCGCCTACATATACGTAAGTCTAGAATCTCGCCCTTTTTATAATCGAACTACCACCAAGGCCCAAACACTAAAGGGTACCGTGGGGTTATAGGGGTATACAGGGGAAAGGGGGAACGCCCCTCGGACCCTAGTGAGCGAACACGTGTGATCCGCCGGGTCGTACCTCCGCGTTCGACAGTCAAAGACCGTCTACCGGCTACGGACAACTACAACATCCATAGCCAAGAGAAAAATTCGCTTGGGACGGGATTCGAACCCTCACAGCGCGCGGCGACTGATTAGGAGGCCAGTAACGTCTACCACTACGCCACCGTTGCTGCCCTTTGTGGATACTGGTGATAAAGACGAGTAGATTGAATGTCAGAACCTTTAAAGCATAATATAAATCAATAGAAATAATTACGGATTATAGTTAAAAAGTGATATAAGCTTCAGAATCTTAATGAAGATGTAATATTAGTATTTTGACCTCTAATACTATATTCGGACTCCCTTTATTTGCTCTCAAACTTCACACGAGATATTTTACTGTGATAAGTTCTAGCGCGTTGGGAAGGGACGCCCGGCACTCAACGCGTGGCACCATCATGGAGGAGAGCTCTGGGAAAAAAGGCTTGCTCACATAACGGTAGAAGAGAGCAAGATCACCGACAGCTCGTTGGCGCAAAAGGGTCCATCAGGAAAGTCTCATTGATCAGACGAAAAACATCGAGTATAGACAATGTAGTGGGCGGCAGAACTCCAAACATGTGAACAGTCATCTGAGCAGTACTCGAGGTACCTGGGCTTTGTACAGGGTGAGGAGGTCGTGTGGAGAAAAGTTCTTCTTACCCATAAACAAATAGGCCTAGACGTCAAGTTCTCAACTTACGAACTACAAATATATTTTTAAAACATACGAGCGAAAAAAACAAAGATAAAGTGTATTATGCTTGTACTAGTTAAAACGCAATACTCAGTAAAGAATAACTCAGTCTTAGAAATTGCAAATAAAATTCACATCAAGGTCTTCTGTCCCCAGATCGGAGCAAATATCGTAGGGATTCCCAGTTTCACAGACACACTAGACTGGGTAATGGTGTTTTTCTAGAGTTTTAATTAGTATAAGCCGATTATCTAGGGTAAGGTGGACAATCTTGAAAATTTTAAAAATAATCCTGATTATTATCCGGCTTCTGTGTGAAGCTAACCCACAATGTGGAGGATTATGCCAACCAAGGAACATTAGCGCCTCTTATCTTTCCTGTTTACCTGCCTTGGCTTTTGACTTTGGGGAAATAGTCAAAGAGGTCCTCGACTGCATCCGGGCTATCGCTTTCTGAATAAATTATAATGGGGGTAACCCGGGCATAGAGAAATTCTCATTTAATGCCTAATCTATGGCGAAGTTATTTGCTAGGCAAATTAAAAAACCCCCAACCTTAAAATGAACCTCGTATTTACAATGTTTGTCAGCAAAACAGTGAAAACAACATAAAATACCTACCGCGATGTAGACAAAATAGTAGCAGCTACTTTTTAATGACTTTTCCGATTTAGTCAAATACAAATTAAGCCCTTTCCCATTATCAGATGATATTCAGGCATCTAAACTTACGTTTTGTTGAAATGGGCTACCACCCAAGAAAAATTTAACTATATTTGTCAAATTTGAGTAATTATACCCTTGTATGCTGTACTTAAAAGTTGAATTTCCTTGAAAGTTCAATGCTTTGTCAAAAAATGGTAAGAACCTACCAAATTAGGACCCTATAGACGTTTGACCAAGAAGTGAAAGAGGTTGGTTCAAAACTACAAAAAAACCCACCTCTAACAAGGACTGGAATAATTCTTGTTACCTCGAAGGCAGATTCAGATTACAGCTTACTTAATGTTAGGTTCTTTTTCGGGGATGGTAAGTAAAAATTGTCTTATTAATGACAGAGAAAAATTCCTCGTAAACTTGCAACATAGATTGGTATAAAACAAGTCAATATGTCTACTAAATAACAATATTGTACACCGCGAGGTTACAAGGATCCCTTTAGTCAATGTTGGTCTAGATTTCTACATTAACACTAGCTTTGAAGAAAAAATTTATGTTTTTACGAACTTGTAAGTAGAAGTGTCTTAAGTTAAAATTCTTCTAATGACTGGTTCTCGGTTCTTTCAATTTACCATGTGCTTGCCTATGCGTGCTAGTTTCTTCAGTGATATCTTAATAATATTTAGGAGATGTCTTAGAATTTAAACCGGAAGTAGACCTCATCCAGAACTGTCGCAACAACCGCTTAATTATTATGCAATATTCCACTAAAATGTTACAACTGCATTGTTTTGCATCTAATAGCTTCAGATGTTGCATTGAATGAAATTGTTTTACGTCAAATCTATTACTCCATCTATTGTGGTTGGGAAAATGTGGCATATCAAACTTTAGTGTTCTACAGACAAAACTTCTAATAAATCCCTAACTAATGTTCAGAACATATTACATCAATTATCTTCTTTTAAAAGGGCCTATCGCAATCTTTAAAAAATGCAACTTTGATATGTAGCTTAACAATTCGGCACCTTGGATAATTTTGGGTATACAGTACTATCATGCCCAAGAGTGCATGGTGTTCTTCCAAACGTCTTAGTCTGGAATATAATATTCTCTCTATTCACATGAAGACCAGCCTATAAATATACTGTAATGAATGTATGATTTTTGATAGTCGAAATCAATAACAGGGCCCTATAGGAGTATGATACAAAAACAGTGCATTTGTTTCGAAGCAGCAAACTTTGCAAAATATCGACAAAGCGTTTACCTACAGTTCTTTTTTCAAAATTCTTGGACCTAAAAATATTCAATTTGTTATAACAACGCAATAAAAAATGCAATCTGGAATTACAACCATCATAATCAAATGCATAGATGAAATAAGTCTGTTTAAAATGAGACGAAAGTCCTCTTGGCTTTTGCTCTGGAGGAGATAGATAGTTTTCAACGAACGTTTCAAAATGTAAGAAAAATAGGCAAAAATCGCAATTTTTTAAATTCCCCTTTTTACTATTTTATGTCATGCACCGGACTTTCGCATATTGATATTTGATTCTGCAAAGTCAATGGTGCTTATAGTGTATTTTACTGCGTGAACTGTTTTTAAGGTATCTAACGCATCTTCAACAAACTTTACTAATCATCAGGACTGAATCGATGGTATTGGTAGAATACAAAACTGGTATTCTGCAGTAGATAAATTATACGGATATGAGAAGAAAGCAAATCAATATTTAATTAAAATTAATTAGTCCAAAAACAGGGAATCGTTAAAGTCAACCGATGTTATTTATGCTATCAGTGCTGTCATGAAGATTGTTTTGAGCTTAATCGATATGATAATTTTGTCTAAACCTAAGTCTTTAGTCTTTTTGCGATATGGCCCATGATGGCAGTGGTCAATGTGAATAATATTTTTTGTTCTATGTTCTCAATTCTATATTGATTAAAATATCTGTGATAATAGCAAAAGGAAAATGTTTATTATCGCGTTTTGGATTCCTGTACAATATGGTTCACACTTTCATTATACTTTAAGCAGCAGTGTATCGTATTTGTTTTGATAATAAGCAGTATTGAATGACTGAATGCTACTATGTAGGCGCAAATTCGTGTCTATAGCCAATAACTAAGTAATCAACAGTACAAATCGGTATTATACAGGGTGTTCATTTGGAAAATACCTACCACGGATTTATCAAAAACCATCGATTAAAAGAAATAACGCTGAGACACATCAAAAGATTTGTCAAGGGGGACAACTTTTTAAACAAAAACTTTCACCCCCTTTCACCCTCGACCCCCCAGGGTCATTCCCTTAAAAATTTTGAAAGACTAGCTTTAGAATAAATCCTAAATTTCATTAGGCTCTGTGCGAGTTTTGTGAACAAATGAAGGCAGCGATTAATGATAATACCATTCATGTAAAGAATATCTGCTTCAATGATGAATGCACATTTTATCTAAATGGATTTGTTAATAAGCATAACCGCCGGTATCCTGCTTTTGTAGAAGGGCATACCCAGTACCCCCAAAAAATAATGTATGGTCTGGCTTTTTAGGAAACAAAATGATTGGGCCATTGTTTATTAATGGAAATTTGAATGGAGACGTTTATTTGGATATGTTGGAAAATACCAAGCCTCTTATCACTGAAACCATTGAAAACCAAATCGACGAGAATTGAAACCCTAAACTTTATGATGGATAGGGCGAAGAGGGCCTAGAGAATGGCATGCTGGATCTCCTGATTTGACGCTATTAGACTTTTTTCTATGGTACCATTTGAAATCTACTGTGTTTACTCCCCAACCTGAAAGTTTGGAGGAACTTCGTCAACGCATCAAGCTGCCATGATATTGCACAACATGTTTTTGAAAATGTACGTCAGGAATTTAAACATTGCATATAACATTGCTTGGTCAATAACGGACAACGTTTTGAACACTTATTGAAATAAAACGTAATTTTTCGAGTGTTTTTATTTTCTATCTGAACAAATTGAAATTAATAAAGATTTTTCTAATATTCTTGAAAACAAAATGACCGATTCTAAAAAAATCAAAGTAAAAATAAAGGACTTCGAGAGCCCTTTTAAACAAACTATTACTCGGTACCCCTCATCATTTAAAATTTTTATGGGATGACCCTGGGGGGTTAGAGGGTCAAATGGAGTGAAGTAGTTTCTGGTTAAAAAGTTATCCCCCTTGACAAATCTTTTGACGTGTCTCGACGTTTTTTCTTTTAATCAGTGGTTTTCTATAAATCCGTCGTTGGAAGTTTTCAAATGAACATCCTGTATATCTTGTAGATTGAACACTCTTCCTCCCACATTACGATTAAGAATTCTAAACACTACATAAACAGGTGGAAACTGAGTTTCCTAAAAAAAAATGAATGCATCCGTTGTTTACACTGGAGTCCTCAATTGTTGAAGAATTGTGGAAATCCATGCACTTGTTTTTAGATTTACAATCTAATTGCTTTTGGGCATTCTGTAATTAGTGATCAGCATTGACTGATTACCGAAATGTGAGTCATTCAACGCGTAAGTCGTTATTTTATTCATAACGTTTCGAAACCTGAGAAGATAGTTAATACTTTGCTCATTAGTTAAGTACATTTCGTCACGTATATTATATTATGACACTCGTGACTTGTATGAATGCAGACAAACCTGTCTACAATCCATCGGCGTGCATTCAATAATAAATATATACAGAAACATTAATACGCAAGGTAGATCAACTTGCGTAGATCGCAGTAAATGAATGATTACATTATTGGCGCTCCGGTTGCCACGTTAGCCTTTTCCAGCATACAAAATAAATGTATGGTGCATGTTTTAATTTTAGGTCACATCTGTCTTAAACAGTAGTAGGACGTGTCAATTCATCGAGATCTCGGTGCCCGCAACATTCAAATGGAAGAAGCTGGAAAAACTCTCAAATACACAGATGTAGAAGTTACCAGAATGTGGAACGTTAAGACGAGCACAACACCGTTCATAGTAGGCGCTCTGGGAACAATCAAACAAGGACTCGACCAGCATCTACAATCAATCCCAGGGAATACATCAATGAAGTTAGTCCAGAACAGTCCCTGCGCGCATTCTCCGCAAAGTGTTTAGTTAAGTCGCTTTGATCTCAGGCAGAGATTTCTGCAGCGTAGCCGGATTCACCGTCTTCGTAATAAATTTAGAATAATAATAACATTTATTTTACTAAGTACAGTTTGCTGGAAAGGCAAACAAAGATATAAATGTACAATAAACGTAAAAAAAAACATAACACATGACTTTCACATCATCTCTTTCGGTTGTTCTAGATGACATGCTTCATAAGCCAATAAACATTTTTAAACTGAAATTTAAAGCCCGTTGAAACCAAAATAGTTAGTTGTACTCGGGCAGATTTTTTTTATAATTTTAATGTTAAGTTTTGCTTAGACCAAGATATTAGCACATATCAGCTTAGCTAAAAATTGTGACAAGCACTATAAGTGTGGAGGGTCAGGAGGAGTAGTTCTCCTGTTGTACGATTACGGGTAAAGTAAGACTACCAGTATTACTTTATACAATGTGTTTGGTCACGACATACTGATATTTGAGGGGGATATTTTTCAGCGATTTTTATCAACAAATCCACCCCCTACAATGTCATACCTCACCCCCGTTGAAATGGATCCGTACCGCTGCGAACGAAATTACGGCTGATACGGATATGGTCTGCCAACACATTATTTTAAGAACAACATTGTGCATAACCAATAATGGAGGACATTTTGAACAGCCTATGTAACATTAAACATGTCCAAACATTCTATAAGAAACACTGATTTGTCTTTTTTATGTATAACAAGTTTGAAAAGAAATTGCATTTTATTACACCCATTTTGGCCCATGTTAGATAGCATTTATTGCTTAACGTAGAATACTTAGGATAAAAAAAAGCTGTAGCACAAAAAAAGTACAACTTCACAGTCCAGTTTTTGAATGGTGTGCAGAAATGCACAAAATAATCAATTTTCTTCCATATTTTTTTCTGTTTTTGTCTATTTTTAAGTATGTTTGACGGTTAGTATCAAAACAAGTTGTTCAGTAATCGCTAAGACAACAGATCGTCGTTCAAATGACACCAAATTTATCATTCTATGTCAATTCCGTACTGAGTTATTACAATTTCCATACATGCACTACCGTATTCGTAACGTAAAAATAAAAATGGCTGCCATTTCAAAGGGGATGAAGTAGGACATTGTAGGGGGTGGATTTGTCGATAGAAATAGCTGAAAAATACCACTCTTAAATATCGGTAAGTCGTGACCAAACACATTGTATATCTTTATCTCCCTCATACATACACATGCAACGTAATCCTGTGTGTGAACGTTTGTTCGGTAAGCTCAAAGACATACGTTTTTTAGTTGTCGTATGAGTGCCCTTCAATCATATTTCTCAGAGTTACAACTTACGTGTGATATAAAATTGTACAATACCGGTAAATACAATCAATGGAGATGTGCGACAGCTCGTGTTAAATTTATTAGAATATTTCCAGGAAGAGAATGAAAACAGCGGGCCCCTGCTACCCACTTCATGTGCACTGGAGGGAGTAGCAGATGCGCTGAAGATTAGTCTGCGCCCATGGTACGAAGACTCCATCTGTTTACTTATTTCGTATGGCGTTGATGACGTAACCGCCAAAAACGGTGACTACAACTATAAACAATTTCTTGTGTGTGTCTCTTGTCTACCAATTAAAAAAATATTTTTTTGAGTAAAATTCATCATTCAATCAATCATAGACGATTAGTTTATGTTATCAGCATACATACGGTACATGTATGGCAAACAATTATAAATCTTACATGATTGGTAGGTGTGGCATTTCTTTGCAAAGTTTGTATTTTTAAGTTGTCATTTTCTTTATGTCTAGTACTATGAGCATGACTATCTTTATTGAAGTTGTTTTGTGTTTGTCCATGTATTGAATGAGTTGATGCAAAACCAGTTGCCTTAGGTCTGACACCTCAGACATTGAAAATATTTTTTTCAGAAGGATAAGTAATTTTTTCACACATAGTATTTCAGACCAGCTTCTTAACAGCCACGCATAGTGGCACAAATGGCTAAATTAAATGTTATTTTAATTAGAATTAATTAGGGTCATTTGGATAAGGTCACTCAGCAGGTGGTCAACTTAATCATTTTCTTCGTTAAAAACTGTCTGCATCCCGAGCGGTAATCGTTTTTAGATTTTATATGTAATTTATATGGTGTTCGTACGTGAGTTTAACCAAGTTCCTCATACATGACAGTGAAAACCTGTTATTTATATCACGTCTGTGCTCTAATTACTATATCTGTTGTTGAATATTGTAGGAGGACAATTTTATAATATTCCCAAAACAGTAAAGCTATGATAAAGTTTTAATCTTTAAATTAGCAGTAGCTTCGAACATGGTTATGAGCTGCGTACTATTTTATACAAAATTCAAAGTCCCTACGCCCTAAGTACTTACTTGGATACAACAAACATAAAGCAATAATCTTTATTTCTGTATATATGGGTCAAGTCAGCTTGCATGGCCTGTAGCGTGGAATTAAAAACTCAATCAAGCAGTATAAAATCAGGCAATAGATTTTACGAATGAATGTATAATAAAATTAGAGGAATACCGGCCACCATGAGGAGCCGGTGCATAGGCCGCCTAAACGGGTCCTACATTCCCTACGCCCCAAGCGCCGCCCTTCTAGCAAAGTTGAGTTTAGTCCTGAGGCCCAGCTCCTTAACATTCTCGGAATCCAAAGTGTTGGACCCCAGAATAGTCTGCTTGTAGTAGCTCAGAGCCTCACAGAGACACAGAACATGCGCGAGGACTCTTCCTCTACCACGCAGCGCTCACACTTGGGATCCTCAGCCATCACATGCTGGTGGCGCCTTATCATGTAATGTCCGGAGAACAGTCCCACCAACAACCTGAGGTTGCCTCTATCCATTTTTAACACTGTGCCCGTGCCTGTCGGAGAAGTCTAGCGATGCTTCTTCATTTCTGAGAGTGTTATCTAGCAATCCACTTTCCCATTTGACTGCGACTCTTTGCGTGGGCACCCCTAGGGCGGGCTCAGGGCCAACAAGCTTGCTTGCTGATCCTGCTTCCGCAAGAGCATCCGCCATATCAATACCCTTTATCCCAGTGTACCCTGGTACCCACACTAACGGGATACTAAGATAGTTATTCTTTTTCTAGGCTTTTCCCCCTCCAAAATGCGAGATACGTAAGGCAGAATCGCATAAGTTTCCTGAAAGATAGTAGTACCCATATCCGCCGAGAGGCAGAGATAGCCTAGTTCTAGGCGCAAAGCCTTCAGCGCCAGAGCCTTCTTCAGTAACCGAGCCGTATATCTCGATTTATTTGGTGGTACTACATTTCGCTATAACTCTTCGCAACTATTAGTCTTATTTTATGCATAGATCTTTCCTGTATTTGCCCTTTTTTATACCGAAGCAGCCGCGCAGGCAGAAGACCTAAATGCCGGCACACCGCGGCTGCAATGATTATCCCAAAGAAATCTTGTTAATCCGATTTTTGAACTGCCTACGGTTAGTAGAACTGGGAAAAGCTTCCTCTTGTAGATTGTTCCACAATCTCGACAGCCTTAGTGCAAAGCAGCCGTCGTATCGGCCAGTTCTGGATGCTCGAAGTTTGACACGGTTAGGATGGGGGTCAAAGTCAGGCGGGTCTGTCTGGCATGCACACCGCGCAGCGGCATCATGAAAGAGAACTCTGAGGAGCAAAGCTCGTTGGCGTAGCGTTAGAAGAGATCTATATCGCCGACGGCCCGTCGGTGCGAAAGGGTCATCGATCCGTCGGACAGATCTCCTCTGGACAGCATTGAACATAAATAATGTAGTCAGGGCGGCAGCACCCCAAACGTGTGAGCAATACTCGAGGCTAGGCCTCATCTGGGCCTTGTATAGAGAAGGTCATGTGGAGAAAAGTACTTCTTAACCCTAAACAAATAGCCTAGCTTTTTCCCAGCAGCTGTCGCTATTGAGATGTGTTCGTGCCATGAGACAGAACAAACGTGTATTGCGGTTTCGCGTCGACATCTAGCGCATCGGCTGGAATGCTTGAACCTCAAACATACGGGCACGCAGCAACTTTTGTCAGGGTTGCGAGATCTAACAATTCTTGAATAAGGTACAAAATGGTGAAAAATCCTGCAGGATATGCAAACTTTAGAAGGCAGTCGGATTATTAGGGAGATACCTTGGTACGAGCTTATTTGACTGACTTGATCCGCTGAGTTCCCTTGTTATACATTTTTTGCTGCCTTTATTTTGGACATTCGGGGTTACAACCGAAAAAATGCGATAAAAAAAGAGATGCTCTAAAAAGGGAAAGTTCACCACAGGGCACTCTTCCACTTGCCCTATAAGATAAAATCGAACAATCTACATTCAAAACTTTGATATAAATATTTATAATAGGTTACATTTTTTTAATTTTTTTGATTTTCGTAGTAAAAAAATCGACGTAATACTAACATTACCTAACCTGAAAATACATGTATACATCATGGCACCCGACATCTCACGACTAATCAAATAGATTTAAAAGCTTTAGGTGTCAAAGGATGGAGTCGTGGGTTTTCTATGTATTATATTTGAAGCTTCATTTGTATACAGAACGTCTTATGTGGCGGAACCGAAATATTATTTATAACGAATGTTGTCTTCTGAATTTCACTTTATTGTATAAGGCGGGTCCTTGGTGGACATAATTTTATGGTAAAAACATAATGTAAATATCTCAAAATGGTGTTTCATATCCAGCCAATCCAAGGGTTTTAATTTATGGCTATCTCCCTCATATTTGGTTATACCAAAGATAAAACGTATACAAGTGTTCTGAACGAGGAGTAAACAGGAATAGCAAATGAAAATTGTTATAAGATCAGGGATGTAATGGGTGATTTTTTTGCTAGTATCTTTTTGGCAACACTGTTTTTGACAGATGACGCGTGAATCGTGTCTTGTGTCATTGTCAAACTTGTTCAGTTTGGTTTATAATTTAACCATGAATCGACTTACGAACGAACAACGCTTGCAAATTATTGAATTT